CCAATATCGGCAAGAATACGAAATGGATGAAGATGTCTAGGTGAAAATCGAATTAATGCAACATAAGCTGGATAAAGTCCATCGAAAAGTGCATGACCAATATTATGAAGCCATAATTGACCAAAGTATAGAGTAACATACGGAATTCTTCTTGGATTAGTAATATTTCGAACAAATATCTGAAGATGAGTATATGAATCAAATTCACGTTTATTTGGTTTTGTAGGCCATAGATTAAAAGCATCTGTTCGTATAGAATATTCAGGTAAATAACTTTCTTTTACTATTAGAATTGTAAATGTATTATCAACATAGTATAGATTTTGAAACAAACAAGATTGATTATATAATGAACCTATACATTGAACTTTTGTTTCTAATGTTCTATTCGAATAAACTAACGTTGAATTTGTAAAAGATAAATTATATTTATTAGTTTCATTTATTAATAGTTTTGTAGGTATTGTAAAATTTTGACTATTTGTAATATTTGATATGAATGAAGTTTGTATGTTAATATTTTTCATTTTGACTATGAAATATAACATGATAATGATAGATATGATGGTAATAGTGATCAAAATCTGACGAATAATTAATGAATAGCTGACTGATTTTGTTTGTATTTGATTTGACATGATTGATGATAATCAGAAATTCTTGTAGCAGAATAAAGTAGAGTTTTTCAATCAATTTCTATGTATCTGAAAATAAAGCTTATACAGGTTTCCTATGATCTATGTATATTTTTAGTATTGATATACCAATGTAGTTACAGAACTAAAGATATATTTGCATATGGATAGTGTGAGGACGCAGGTAAATAAATATTAAATGAGATACTTTTTGAATCTATAACATTGGAATAAAGAGATCTATATTATTGATAAATTCTTTGCAAGTCAAAATGTTAAATATTGCTATAGAAATATATATCCATAACAAGCACTTCTCTTTCTATTGTAAATGAGCGAGGTTTAATTAATAATTGACAAAAAGCATCACAATGATATAGAGTCAATTTCTTAGTGAGTTTCTGAAGTTTTTCTCCTGTTGCTATTAGAGTAACTACTATGAGTAAATGTTTGAGTTGTTACATTGTAGAGCAATAACTCA